AACTGGGAGCTCCTAAAAATCAAACACTTATGCTCATCAAAAGTCTTCACCAAAACAGTCAAAGACAACCTACAGACTGGGAAAATAATTTTGGCTACGACATATCCATTGAGGGTCTAATCTCTAAAATCTACAAGATACTGCAAAACCTCAACAACAAAAGACAAACAACACAATGAAAAAATGGGCAAATAATGTGAACAGGCACTTCACCAAAGAAGATATTCAGGTAGCTAACAGACACATGAAAAAACGCTCACTATCATTAGCCATTAGAGAAATGCAAAACTACAATGAGATACCATCTCACTCCAACAAGGCTAGCATTAATCCAAAAAACACAAAATAATAAATGCTGGAGAGGTTGTGGAGAGACTGGAACACTTATACACTGTTGGTGGGAATGTAAAATGGTACAACCACTTTGGAAATCAATTTGGCATTTCCTTAAAAAGCTAGAAATAGAAGTACCATACAATCCAGCAATCCCTCTCCTTGGAATAGATCCTAGAGAAATAAGAGCCATCACATGAATAGATAATATGCACACCCATGTTCATTGCAGCACAGTTCACAATAGCAAAAATATGGGAACAGACTAGGTACCCATCAAGGGACGAATGGATAAACAGATTATGGTATATTCACACAATGGACTACCACGCAACGGTAAAGAACAATGATGAATCCGTGAAACAACATGGAGGAATCTGGAAGACATTATGCTGAGTGAATTTAGTCAGTCACAAAAGGACAAATACTGTATAAGACCACTATTATAAGAATTCAAGTAATGGTTTAAACACAAAAGAAAACTTTCTTTGATGGTTATGAGGGTGGAGAGGGAGAGACAGTGGTATTCATTAACTAGAGAGTAGACAAGAATTATCTCAGGTGAAGGGAAGGACAACACGCAATACCAGGGAAGTCAGCACAACTGGACTAAACCAAAAGTTAGGAAGTTTCCTGAATACAAGCAAACACTTCAAAGGACAGAGTAGCAGGGGTGGAGTCTGGGGACCATGGTTTCAGGGGACATCTAGGTCAATTGGCATAACAGAGTTTATTAAGAAAATGTTCTGCATTCCACTCTGGTGAGTGTTCTGCATCCCACTTTGGTGAATGGTGTCTAGGGTCTTAAAAGCTAGTGAGCAGCCATCTAAGATGCATCAGTTGGTACCAACCCACCTGGAGCAAAGGAGAACGAAGAACACCAAAGACACAAGGAAAATATTAGCCCAAGAGACAGAAAGGGCCACATAAACCAGAGACTCCATGAGCCTGAGACCAGAAGAACTAGATGGTGTCCGGCTACCATCAATGACCGCCCTGACAGGGAACACAATAGTTTGTCCCTGATGGAGCAGGAGACAAGTGGGGTGCAGAACTCAAATTCTAGTAAAAAGACCAGACTTAAAAGACTGGAGGGACCTTGGAAGACATGGCCCCCAGAATCCCTGTTAGCCCAAAATTAAAACCATTCCCAAGGCCTACTCTTCAAAGATGAGACTGGACTGTGGGACATAAAATGATGTTCATGAAGAGTGTGCTTCTTAGCTCAGGTAGATACATGAGACTAAATGAGCAGCTCCTGTCCAGACAAGAGATGAGAAGGCAGAAAGGGACAGGAGCTGGCTGAATGGACGCGGGAAATCTCGGGTGGAAAGAAGGAGTGCGCTGTCACAGTATAGGGAGAGTAGCTAGGGTCACATAACAATGTGTGTATAAAGTTTTGTATGAGAAGCTAACTTGAATTTAAACTTTCACTTAAAGCACAATTTAAAAAAAAAAAAAACCATTGCCGTCAAGTCAATTGCTACTAATAGCGACCATATAGGACAGAGTAGAACTGCCCCATACGGTCTCCAAGGAGCAGCTAGTGGATCCAAACTCAACCTTTTTGTTAGCAGCCGAGCTTTTCTACACAGATTTGTGGGGGGACACTCTTCAGTCCACAGTAGATGCCAACTATTTATCCTTTACCCACAGCTGGTCTCCAAAGCACGTCACAAACCTAGAGCCCAGGTTTATTTTCAGTGGTGTGGGCCACTTTCCAGTGCACACACCTCTCTTCTTGCAAAAGTCACCATTTTCCACTCCCATCCCGATCCAGGAATCAGTTTAGCAGACAACATTCACCCTTCTCTGTTTGCCAGAACTGGGGTTTTACCATAATCGTTTTGAGAGTTGGTATACTTACGTGAACTTGAGCAAACCTCAATGGAAAATTAAATATTGGAAAATTGCAAGGAGGTTTGAGAAGTTTTCAACCGCTGCTCTGGGGCTGATTGATCTGTTTCTTGTGGTTTACAAAAGTTTGTGCTTAAACCTTTTGTAGGAAAGCAAGAGTTTATTTTTGGTTCCTAAATCTCTGAAGAGATTTCTCAGCACCTTTTAAAGTTACTGAATTAGGTTTCTAAGCTTTTAAACAGCAAATAATACCTGAGGCAAGGCTTAATATCCTGTTCCCCCTCAAAGCTAGGAAGGTTTTGAATTTATTTAGAATCCACAGAAATACTTGAGGGAAGTGCTTTTGTCAAGGGAATAAAATGGCTGTAGAAATGGTGGTGAAGAGGTGGAGTTTAAGAACTGAAAAGTGCAAGTTAAGGAACTCTGAAACAATTCACTGTCGTTTAACTTCTTTTTGTTTTAAGGAAGATACATAGGTGAAAGCGCAAACATATCAAAAGATAATCACTCTTACTCTTAATAGGAGAAGTGCAAATTTAAAGCTCTAATGAGATACCTATTAGCAGAGACCGTAAATAAATGAAATATTGTGTGCTAGTAAAAGTGTGAAAGTGCATTAATCGCATACATTGCTGGTGGACATATAAATTGGTATAAACTCAAAGGAGACCAATTTGTGAAAATCTATCCAAATTTAAAGCACCCATGATTTTTGACCCAATAGTTCTACTTCTGGGAATTTATTCTACATATACTCAACATGTACAAAAAAAAATACATAAGTTTATCTGTTGCAGTGTTGTTTGTGATAGCAAAGACCAGAAGCAACCTAAATGCCTGTTAATCACAGACTGGTTAGATATATCAGATGGTTTATCCAAATAATGGAATAACAAGCAGATATTTAATAGAATAGGGCAACTCCATATATTAATATGGAAAGATCTTTAATGTGTATACTTAAGTAAAAAGAGCAAGATGCAAGTTAGTGCGTGTAGTATGCTGCCATGTTTACATAACGTAGTATGCTACTATTCTTTTAAAATGAAAAGGTATAATGGAGAGTGACTGCCAATGAGTATAGGGGTTTCTTTTGGGGATGATGAAAGCGTTCTGAAATTATATAGTGGTAAACCCTAGTGGCACAGTGATTAAGAGCTCAGCTGCTAACCCAAAGGTCAGCAGTTTGAATCCTCCAGACACTCTCTGGAAACCCTATGGAGCACTTTTACTCTGTACTGTAGGGTCACTGTGAGTTGGAATCGACGCCATGGCAGTGGGTTTGGTTTTAGGGTGAATGCTTGCACAACCTATGAACATACCAAAATCTGCTGAATTGTAAACTCTAAAATGTTGAATTTTATGTTGTTTTTGTTAGTTGCCATCGAGTCAGTCCCCAACTCATGGAGACCCCATGTGTTATAGAGTAGAACTGCTCCATAGGGTTTTCTTGGCTGTAATCTTTATGGAAGCAATGCAGCCAGGCCTTTCTTCTGTAGAGCCGATGGCTGGGTTCAAACTGCCAAACTTTAGGTTAGTAGCTGATTGCAAAGCACTGGCGCTACCCAGGGACCTTGAATTTTATGTGAATTGTATCTCAATAAAAAGAAAAACAAAAAAAGATATAAACCTATACACAGAAATAATTGGCTCTTTCTAAAAGGATATGTAAAAACCTTATAAGAGAGGTAGTTTTGGGGGAAGGGGGTAAGAGGGCCAAGGGTAGAAGAGAATGGGAGGGATCCTTGCTCTTCACCATGTACACTGTTGTACGCCTTTTGGATTTTGAGCCATGTGCTTGTATCACCTATTCAAAAACGTAATAGTTTATAAAAAGAAGGAAACATTGATTATTAAAATCACCTTAACAACATAAAAATAAATTTCTAAAATTTTACCTACGTCTGTACCAAAGTTCCATTGTGGTTTAACTTTAATTTTATTGTCAACCTACCAAAGTACTCAAAAGTATGAAGAAGTTTGCATTTAATCTTATTTCAGAAAAATATCTACAGTAGGTATAAACTACCAGAGAAACTGGGCCATGCTAATTAGAAGGAATTAATTGGGTAATTGCATTTCACCTACTTAAATTCCCCCGTCACCTTTAATTGGAATAACTTTCCTCTTTACTTCCAGTCCCTAAACTGTTGTGTGGTGTTGATAGTGTTGTGTAATAAGGTTCTGAATCCCACATCAAGAGCGCTGTATTTCATTGGAAGATTCCGTGAACCCTAAATGGGCTAATAATAATGGAAACAGCCATGAAATTATAGAAGATGTGATTGAACCTGATTAACTCAAAAGAGTATCACTTTACCTGAATATACTGATATCACCATTATAAGTGGTTTAGGTGATTTGGAGAGGCCTGGGAGGAAGGCCAAGAGGGAGGTAAACGCAGTTAGAGATTTTCCGCACAGCTCAGGAAGCTGTGTGTGTAAGCCTGTCAGTTGTGTATGCATTTGATCATTTCTTATTCCTACACCCATTTCTTTTTCTCCCTAAATGAAAATTGGTCCAGAAGATATTGAATGACTCTTGGATTTCTTAGAAAAATAAATTCTGGGAAAATTAACTTAGAACAAAAAATATATATATATATTATATATATATATATATATATGTTTTCCACATGATGGAGACCAATGTAAAGGGAGAAAACCCTATTTCTTCATGTTAGTTTTAGCACAGTGAATAGACTTATATCTTACTCTTTCTCCTGTGGGTTTTGCAAGGAGCGGTGTGAACATGAAAGAGAGAAAGTTGTGTAAGAGAGAAGGAACGTATTTAACATGTGATTGTTTTAGATACATAACCAAAGAAGATGTTGCTGCTGCCTCAGTGGACAAAGTGAAGAATGATGGGGGCCATGTCCGTCTGATCACAAAGGAATCTAGGGACCCTTCTGCAAAGTAAGGATTTTTACTACTAGAACACAGTAGTACTAAAACTACTCCTTTAAACTTAGGTACTAATTTTTGTAATAATACCTACCTTTGTGTGGCCACTTTAGAGGTTACAAAGAACTTTCACAATATAGTAGTTCCTTTTCTAATTTGGTCAACTCTGAGTTTACCTATACAAAAAACCCATTGCTGTTGAGTTGATTCTGACTCCTAGCGACCCTATAGGACAGAGTAAAACTGCCTCATAGGGTTTCCAAGGAGCGGCAGTGGATTCGGACTGCCAACCTTTTGGTTAGCAGCCGAAGCTCTTAACCACTGCGCCTCCAGGGCTCCGAGTTTACCTATAGAAGGCATGATATTTAGCAAGTCTTCTGTTCCAGTTCCTATCAACAGTGTTAGCTTCTTCACTCTGTCACTTCACAGATGTGAAGATTCTGTTTCCTATAGGCCAGCAGAGGCTGGAGTAGAGCAATCGTGGAAGGCTTAGAAATGGCCCCTCTCCCGTAATGAGGTGTGTGACCCACTACACTTGGAGGACAGAGTAGCCGCTAAGCTTTAGCTGGAGTTTTACGTTAGCTGTGATGGTCATTCTCTAATTTCTCATTTTCCAACTTCTCCAGATGTATCAAAGTCTTATTGTTTACTTGAAGGCATCTAAATTCCCGAGAGGTAACATACTCATATTCAAAGTATTATTTTTTAAAAATATAGCACTCTTTCCTTTATGGCATGGAATATAGAGTGCTGTTTCATTACCACACTGAATCACAAAGTCTGGGGGGGCTGTATATTTACTGTTTACCAGTATAGAGACTTTGAAGACTTTTATATGAAGCAATGACAATGTAGACTGAAGTGATTGTTAAATTAGTTACTGATGAAATGTTTTGTTCAATTACAGAAAGTTTCTTGGAGCTGAAGCCTGTGTCCCATTTCTAAATCCCTGCACAGCCCAAGCTGATCTCACTGCGAACCCTTCTACTTCCAAGGGCTATTTGCAAGCTGTGGATAATGAAGGGAATCCACTTTGCCTTCTCTGTCAGCAACCCACTTGCCAAACTAACCAAGAGTGTAAAGTGAACGCTTGGGATTCACGGTTTTGCTCTCTGAAATGTCAGGAAGAGTTTTGGATTCGATCTAATAACAGTTACCTGCGAGCCAAAGTATTTGAAACTGAGCATGGTGTGTGTCAGTTATGTAATTTGAATGCACAAGAACTCTTTTTACGTCTGAGAGATGCCCCTAAAAGTCAGAGGAAGAATCTTCTGGATATTACCTGGACCTCAAAGCTCTCACTAGAACAGGTAAATTATACTATAATCATATGATAGAGAGAATATGACATTGTTCTGAGGGATTAATATCGACTCACTAGTTTTCTTTCACTTTTTTAGTATGGAAATTTTCTAATATACATACAAATTAAAGAGGATAATGAACCCATATACCTATAGCCCAGCTTCACCAGTTATCAACATTTTGCCATTCTTATTTCATCTATCTCTCCTCTCATTTCTTTTTTTTTTTATTCCCTCTTGGAATATTTTAAAGCAAACCCCAGACAATAATTCATTTCACCCTTAAAGATTTCATTATGTATTTCTAATATATAAGGACTTTCTTTGTTTTTAATATAAACCCAATACCCCAATACACACTATCACAGTCAACACAACTGTAATTCCTTAATATGTCTTGTGTTTTGTTTTCCCAGATTGTCTTAAAAAAAAAAAAAAAATCTGTTTACAGTTGCTTTGTTCAAATCGGAGCCCTGATGGCGCAGTGGTTAAGAGCTCAGCTGTTAACCAAAAGGTTGGCAGTTCAGATCTGCCAGCCGCTGCTTGGAAACCCTGTGGAGCAGTTCTACTCTGTCCTATAGGGTCGCTATGAGTCAGAATCGACTCGACGGCAATGGGTTTGGGTTTTTGTTTTTGCTTTTGTTTTTTTTTTTTGTTTGTTCAAATCAAGATCAAAACATGGTGCACTGCATGTGATCAACCTGCCTCTTTTGCTGTAGTCTGTAACAGCATCCCATCCCTTTTTTGCATCTGCTGAAAAAGCTGAATCGCTTGTAGGATTTCCCATGTTCTGGAATTGTCTCCCTGTACCCTCATGATGTTTTTTGACATGTTCCTCTATCCCCCTATATTTCTTGAATAATAGTTGTAAGATTTAGAAGCTTAATTAGATTCTGATTCAGTTGTTTTTGGAAGAGATTTTAACAGATGGTGCATCACATCCAAAGGTACCTAATGTCTGGTTGGTTGTTCTACTTTTCATGATGTTAATATTTAATTACAAGAGACAGAAGATAACCTCAGAAATGTAGCCCATTACAATGAGAAGCCAACTTGGATATGTTCATTTTGTTGTGAAATGTAACTTTAGTGAAACGATTTTCAGAATATTCTTCTTAGCGCTGTCATCAGTATTCACTTTTACTTCCAAAACCCAGTTGGACTTCTAATCTCATTATTCAGTCAGTTCTAAATTTCAAACTAGAGCAAATGTACAATTTTTGTAGTGAGCTTAATTCAAAAAGGATCACTCCTGAGCCACCCTCTGCCCACTAAAATATCAGGTAAATTTCTGCTGTTTAGAGAAATCATACATTTTTATTTACCTAATATTGCTGAATTATTATAGAATGAATTAAAAAGCATTTCCACAAAGATGAATCAGCATGTCTTTGAGAGCTAGGGAAATACAGTATCTCTCTAATAACATCCAGGGTTCCTGAAAGATTCTTTGGTTTAATTGGCAAGGGGCATATTGTACCCATCTCAGGGGTGCTGGCCAGACTCCAGTCATTGTCTGCTGCCTCAGTACAGAGGCTTCCAGAAGACACACAATGATATGACCCAAGGAGATTTTCAAAATAGCCCATCCAGGACTTCAGAAGTAACACAGTGTACATCCAATACAGAGTGCTCAAAGCGTAAGGAGCATCATAGGGCTCAGATCAGGGAGGATCAGTCAGAGAGAGAGTCTGCTTTCAAGAGGTGAATCTAGGATGTTGAAGAGTGGCCCCAGGTGATTTGCTGTAGAATTGTTAGGGAAGAGTAACGAAGCACCTTCTGGATGAGAGAGTCTGTCAGAGTGGAGGCTACTCAGAGCAAAAGAATTGGTTACAGAAGGCAGAACCAAAATGGATTTTTTTTTTTTTTTTGCTAAGAAAATACCCTTTGCTTGATGCATAAGACAGCCATTTATAGTTGTTTCTAACAAGGCCAACCTCAAAAATCAATATACATCTTCTAACAGAGCTTGGATAGTTCAGTACAGAAGAGTAAGTAAGGAAAGCTGTAACAAAGTTCAGCTGGAGGAAGCTGATTGCTTCAGCTTTGTGTCTCTTAGAGCTCCTGGGCTCCTCATGGGCCAAGTACTATTGATCAGGTCACTGTGCCATTCTGCGGTCTGAGGAGCGTGCTGAAAGGCACTTTAGAACTACATCAGAGGTGCCCATGGCAGCCATGAAATTAGCTAATTATAATTTCCTCGTTGCCCAAGACTGAGAGAAAAAAACGTAACCTTCATCCTCATCTTCGTGATACTTAAACAACTGCACAACTATGGTATGGGTTGTTTTAATAACCTCTGGTAAAATGTTAAAATATATCCCATTTTAGTATAGGTCATCATTGGTTAACTATAAAGTATATACATATGTACTAGCCTACATAGTGCCTGCCTAATTTCAAAATAAAACAAAAATATTTGTTTATTCCAAATATGCAAGCTAGAAAGGTATGTTCTAGAAATTTCATCCCAATCCTTGTAACTTGGGAAGTTCCCTGGTGAATACCGTAAAAGCTCCGGGTGATAGCTGTTAATACTTAAACTGCCATTGATAACCTAACAAATATATTTAGGTCAACAATTAAGGCTTGCTTGGGTCAGTAAAATCAGATGTTCTTAATTTCCAATCTATTCTTATTCTTGCCTCAGCTTTGGTTTAGGGAATATGTAAACTAACCCAAAGGTGCAGAGCAACTGATTTTTTCCAGTCTGTCAGGAGTCTTCGTATTTCATACTTGTGTAGAAATGTTTTCAAAATGAGTTAGGTAAAGGAGAAAAAAAAAACTTTTTCAGAAACCTGTTTTATTGCCTTCAAATTGCTAACCCAGAGGTTTTTTTCTACTCACAGTAAAAGCTATAAAAAGCCATCCTAGTGTATTTTTCCCTGTGATTTTGCTGCATAAACATGATCGCACAATGCAAAACCAATAGTTCCCACAGTGGATGTTGAAAATTGCTGAGGTTGCCTTCCTATTGCAGCTCAATGAAATGATAAGAAACCCGGTAGAAGGCCATTTCTGGCAGGTGGATCACATCAAGCCAGTCTACAGTGGAGGAGGACAGTGTTCCCTGGACAACCTTCAGACACTCTGTACTGTCTGCCACAAAGAGGTCAGTGACGTGCACAGATAGCTTTGACTCCACCGGAGATTTCAAATTGAAAATTTTGCAGACAGGTGTGGGAGATTCTGGGGATGAATCTATATCCCTGGTCTGGCTTAATCAGAGCTGCATTTTATTCCTTCCTTTGTCTAACACTTGAATTCCACCTTGAGGCCTTTGTGAGTTCTCAGTCACAGATGCAAGAGAAGCTGCTTCCCTGTTAATTCATTTTAGGACCAGGATATTTCCACCACCACTTAGAAGAGAATGAGTACAACGTACATGTTGCACAGCCTTGAAGAGACTCAGACCCTGGAAGTTTGGTGAATTGGGGCAGTGACACATGTTTGCATTTATGGCCTAAGGATGTCCTAAAATATCTGAGAACATTGATAAATTATCTCTAGAACTCACTCAGTTCAACATGCAAAAACTGCACTGCTGGTCAAAGTGTAAAGATCTCTGGGGGGCACACACAGTTTACACTTGACTACTAACCGAATAGTGCTGGTTTGAACCCACCCAGGAGTGCTACAGAAGAAAGGCCTGGCAATCTGCTTCCGTAAAGTCAAGAAAACCTTACGGAGCAGTTCTACTCTATAATACATGGGGTCACTGTCTTAGTCATCTAGTGCTGCTATAACAGAAATACCACAAGTGAATGGCTTTAACAAAGACAAATTTATTCTCTCACAGTCAAGTAGGCTACAAGTCCAAATTCAGGGTGGCAGCTCCAAATGAAGGCTTTCTCTCTCCGTCAGCTCTGGAGGAAGGTCCTTGTCATCAATTTTCCCCTGGTCGAGGAGCTTCTCAGTGCAGGGACCCCAGGTCCAAAGGACACACTCGGCTCCTGGCGCTGCTTTCTTGGTGGAACGAGGTCCCCCGGGCTCTCTGCTCGCTTCTCTCTTTTATATCTCAAAAGAGATTTGCTTAAGACACTATCTAATCTTTTAGATCTCATCAATGTAACTGCCACTAATCCATCTCATTTCATCATAGTGATAGGATTTACAACACATAGGGAAATCATATCAGGTCGCAAAATGGTAGATAAGTCATACAATACTGGGAATCATGACCTAGCCAGGTTGACAGATATTTTGAGGGGCACAACCCCTCAGTCTGTGACCGTCAGCTTGAGTTGGAATCAACTCCATAGCAGCAGGTTTGGTTTTGGTTTTTGGTCAAAGTGTGAACCCCATTAACCTTTGCATATCTTTGAGCAATTACCTATTGCTTAAAGTGAGGGGGGGAAATGGCATAATATCATTTATCTAGGTGGCATGTGGTCACTATGAGTTGAAAATCAACTCAGTGGCACCTAACAAAATCATGTATCTACCAGAATAGATTTTTTTTTCTTTTTTTTATTGTTATAGTTTAACTGAAGTTTACATTTCAAGTTAGTCTCCCATACAAAAATTTATACATACATTGTTATGTGACTCTAATTGCTCTCCCCATACTGTGACAGCACACTCCTCTTTTCCACCCCTCATAACCTATATCCATTCAACCAGCTCCTAACCTTCTCCGCCTTCCCATCTCACCTCCAGATAGAAGCTGCCTGTTTAGTCTCTTGTATCTACTTGAGCTAAGAGGCACACTCCTCATGAGTATCACTTTATGTCCCACAATCCAGTCCAATCCCTGTCTGAAGAGTTGGCCTCAGAAGTTGTTTTAGCTCTGGGCTGATAGAGAATCCGGGGGCCATGTTTTCCGGGGTCCCTCCAGTCTCAGTCAGACCATTAAGTCTGGTCTTCTTACTAGAATTCGAGTTCTGCACCCCACTCTTCTTCTGCTCCATCAGGGACTCTCTGTTGTGTTCCCTGTCAGGGCGGTCCTTGGTGGTAGCAGGGCACCGTCTAGTTCTTCTGGTCTCAGGCTGATGAAGTCTCTGGTTTATGTGGCCCTTTCTGTCTCTGGGCTACTACTTTCCTTTTGTCTTTGGTGTTCTTCATTTTCCTTTACTCCAGGTGGTTGGTACCAATTGATGCATCTTAGATGGCCGCTTGCAAGCTTTTAAGACCCCAGACGCCACTCACCAAAGTGGGATGCAGAACATTTTCTTAATAA